GGCGGGCTTGAAATCTTCAACCGGTTTCCTCTTGAGCCGCCGTGGATCTGGGGAGCATTTTCACGTCGTAGAGCTGCGTCCTGGGTGAGCGTTTCGTACCTTGGAGCTCGCTGGCGATCCAGCCACCGCATCGGCTGTGTTAACAGTGTCCCTGACAAGAGGAGTGACAGAAGAGCTCAGTACGGAGTTGGCATTTCAGCCTTTAGCGGGGTTAATAAAACATGCGCTTTTTGTTGGGCTTTGCTCTGGAGCGGTGATGGAGACTTTGGGTTGCAATGACACCCTAAAACCTCATTCTTCCACCCAGTTTTCCTATTTGTGGTGTCGTCCGGGACAAAATTTGCTTCGTATTTCCAAACCATGGGGAAAGCAGGCGCTGTCACTTCAGGTGCTGATACAGCACCTCCCACAAAGGTGGCTTTGCCAGGGTCTCCCAGGCACTGCAGGTAAATAAATAACACTGAATATGTAGACATTAATTAGTCTTATTTCACTGTCAGCTGGGGAAACGGGCACCCCTGCGGCTCAGGGAGCACCTGGCTTTGCCGGCGTGCTGGGATGGGATATTTGCCCACCTGAACCGGGCGTCTCGGGGCCCCAGCTGGGTCCAGGGCTGCCTGGGACAGCAGCACGAGCCATCCTGTGCACGTCCCTGGGCCAGCATGGGCTGCAAGTGCCCATCCTCAGGGGCCCACGTGGGGCCAAGAGCTGGCAGGAGCCGGTTCCCTCGCATGCCGGAGCAGCCGCCGAAGACTTCCAAGCCCCCTGGTGCTGTGGGCGGTGTGTGAATTTGGCTTTCTGCTCGGCAGTGGGTGTGAAGAGACTGAATTCTCATCAGCACTTTCATTACCTTAATAAAATTACTTCAGGTCTGTTAAGTTCTTTTGCAGAAAAATAAGACATAATTGCATGTTTCGGTAGCTTCTCCTTCCCCCAAAGGCTTTCGGCCCCTGGGTCTCACTTCCATGGCCATTTGTGAAATCCACGTCGAGGGGCTACGGGATCTTCTCCAAGAGCCTGGACCAGGTGAGGAGCTGGCAAAGTGCCTTCTCTCAGGATGGCCCCTCTCCCTCTTTCACCCTCTTAGCTTTGACAGATGCTAAGAGATTATTTGGAGCTATGGTCTCTTTGAACATTATGTTGTCAACGCTTTTCTTCTGTGAGAGACAAGTCCTTACCTAAACTCGCTCGCTCTACAGAAATAGCGGTGATAATAAGCCCCAGATGAGGAGACTAAGAACTGGCGTTCATTTTACCCCATGGCTGCCATTCACCGAGGTCTCCCAGCATCACCCACTGGGCCTTACGCCCTCCGTTACCCTCGTTCTTACGCTGGTGACCCCGTTTGAGTACTTTCAGCTTTGCCCATGCTTGGGCGTTGTCCCATTCAGGGCTGGACAGTCACCATTTGGAGTCAGCAGCAACGTGTAGACTGACACAATCCAGATTTAGCACTCTCCGAGATAATCAGAGTCGTTTTCAGGGTGTGCTGTGCTTTAAAACTTCTATTTTTCCACAGAGCACCTCTGATGCAAAGTGATAAATTGGGGAGGGACTTTCCTGCCACCAGCTGTAGCTTGGTCAGAGCTCAAAGAGCCTGGTGCCCTTCGGATGGCTCATTGAGACAGGAGGTACAAGGGCTGTAGAGATCAGGAGAAAATGGCCTGGAAGTTGGTGTTAGATGCTACTGGATGGTCTTGGGGTGGATGGTTGGATTAATGGATTAACTAACGGGTTAATCAGATCTTAAATTCTCTAAGGATCCCTGCAGTAGAGATGGAGGCCATCCCTACAGCCGGGCTTTGGGAATGGTCTGTAATATAAATGGAGCGGTACATGCGAGCTGGCAGTACTGCTTCACTGGGGCTGTCTGCTAAGCTTCCCATCTTGGTACCCGCTGTGCATCCCCTCAGGAATACGGAAACTTCCTGACAAGTGTCATGGCTTTTCCTGGGGTGGCTGTTGTAACTGGCTCCTCCTTAAGGTGGATCAAGGTGAGTGCTGCACCCGCTAGTAACCAAAGTTGTTAGCAACATGGCTTGTGCCCTGCCTGGAGAGAAAAGTTGATAGATAGAGATCCTCAGATCCTTCCTTTGCTCTTCAGCCACCACCTGCCCGATATTGTGCAAAGGTCCTGGACTGTGGGCGCATGGATTTGGCAGAGAACGAGAACGTAAGTACTCTGACAGAGCCCCCGCAGCGTCTTGCTAATGAACACATAAGAATGAAGCCCCTGCAGCCCCTTCCCAGGTGGTGGAACTGGGAAATGAAATTTGCTCTGCAAAATGAATTCCTAATCACAGGAGGAAAACGGCAGCTGAAAATTCCGTCTACAACCTGTTCAAGCTCTGGAAAAATGGAGATATGCTGTGGTCTTCCAGCAGCGCTGGGGTGGGAGTGGGACAGGGGAGAGGAGGGCTCTGCTGGCTGTCAGAGCTGTTGTGTGTCTCTAGGTGCAGCTGCAGGACAGGAATGAGAGGCTGTATGGGCTTGGAGACCTGCAGGAGAGGACGGGGAAGCTGGCTGTCTCCAAAACAGATTCGTCAGCCGGAATGGTCTTCAGTGAAGAGGACAAACTGAAGGTAAAATGAATACTTCAGGAGTTGGGGAGAATTGAGCCGTGAAGGCGTGTGAGGGTAGTAGATCTGCAGTGGAAAATCTGTTGGGAAATGCTGGGGCCTCATTCTAGGGGTGTACATGTTCCCCGGTGCGGCCCGTTGAAACAGTATGTTGGCCTCAGGATCAGCCCGTGGCCTTTATAATGTCCTTTTTCTCCTCCTAGATTTCCAAAGACCTTGTTGATCTCCAGATTGAGGCAAACAAAATGAAGGAACAGTATGAGACAGAGAACTTTGAACTGAAAAATATGGTAATTTTGAAGTAGAGTTGCTTCATCTCTGCCAATACCTTTAATCCAGAACCGCAGTTCATTACGCATCCATCTTTGCTTTGCTTGGTGTATTCTCCTGGCTTTAGCTAGAGCAATGAATCCCCGCCCTCCAGCACCCCAGATACCTTGAAACTCATGTGAAACGCATTACTCTCTAACTCATAGCATGCCAGAACTTGTTTGGCCAAATAAATACCCTGTGATTGCTGCTGGTCTCTGCCACAGTCTGATTCTGCTGCCTCTCCTCTGCAGATCCTGGCCCTGGAGAACCGGGTGCTGGAGCTGGAGCTCTGCAGTGGGAAAGTCACCGGGGAGCGGGATGCCTTACGGGAACGTCTGCATGCTCTGGAGAGCAGTCGGAAGGAGCTGGCGGATGAGTATATCATTTTGAAAAGCAATTACCTGGCCCTAGGCAAAGAACTGGACCAGGAGGTGAGCCAGGCTGCGGTGTTCGTTCTGGGCTTCTCGACTCCATCCCACAATTACCTGGTCTGCAGACAGCTTGGCTGGCTTTGGCTTGGCTTTGGCTTGCCTATCCACCTCACAGCCCGCGTCCAGTAAGGGTTGCCAGCCGTGAGATGGCATTGCTTGGGTATGGTTTTGGTTTTTTGGGGCCCAGGGATTTCACGTAACATGGCTGCCTTCTAGCAGGGCTTGTAGAACCCTCTCTGCTCAGCAGGGACGGCGCTGAGCCCACGCTGACCCGTGTGCCGTGCTCTTCCGGGCATGCTGCTATCAGAGCCTTTTTCTTTTCACGCCATCCCAGATCCCTGTCACTAGCAGGAGTGGGGAGGTCACCGCGGGGCTGCTCTGAGTGCACGTCGCCGGTCCCTCCTGACTGCCAGCACGCTTTGTTTCCCTTTTTTTCGGCATGGCTTGCGCCGCCTGCACGTGAACTGATTGTAGTCACTCTCATTTCGTATGGCGGCGGGAAGGGGCCTGGAAGTTTTTAAGGTCGGCGAGTTTATAAAAACACTGAATGTCAGCAAGTTTCTGATTGTCCCTTAAAACGTAGCGAATTTCCTGGTGACTCTTAGCTTAGCGATTCTTAACCAAAGTCTTTTGGACCCAGATCTGTGTGTTTCTTTGGCAGGAATAGCTACTTCAATAGACCTTCCTCCCTTCCCTCCTTCTCCCCCCTCCCGCTTCTCCTTCTTTTTGAATCGGGTGGGATGACTGACACCCTCCCGCCTCCCATCCAGTGGATGGCTGAGCTGGTTCAGCCAAATGACCTGGTTTACCATGCAGAGCTGTGATGGGAAGATGTGGGGCTGGGACTGGGCGTGCTGGTTTAGGCAGTGTCCAGGCTCTCTTTACGGTGAGCATCCTTCTGCAGAGCTCCGGTAGAGGAGGATACGAGGGCGTGATCATCTCCCGTTGCAAATAAGTGAGTTAGTGACTATCGCAAAGCTATCGTTTGCCTCCTGTTCGCTGAAAAATGGAAATCTCTTATGAGGAGGCAAGCTCAGCTGCGTGCACGGGTGCGAACCCGCCCCATCGTCCTGCCGGAGCACGAGGCGGAGTGCGTGCAGCCGACTGTCAGCAAGGCAGCACGCTGCCGAGACACGGTACTGCCGGGCTGCGGAGGAGCAGCTCGGCACTCGGGAATCTTGGTTGCTTCTTGTCCCCAAGGGGGTGCAATACGTTTGTCAAAAATCGTATTTTTAGGTGGCTGACATCTCTAAATGATGGTTTTAATGGGTTGATGGTAATAACACCCTGTTTGCACATGGATCATGGAATCTTTCAGAGGGTGAAGGCACATGGATTCAGTTATGAGCCTGGATGCCATCCTGAAGAAGTGATGGAGCAGGGTCCAGGAGCCAAAGGTGAACTCCTGGGCTGTAATTCACAGGCAGAGGATTTTACCCCGGTTTCTTGGCTCTGACTACCGAATATCCTCACCCGAAGCAAAAGAGGCTCCAACTTGGCAGGTCAGGACTTGTCGCGGCATGGGCCTCTTGCTCATTATTTTCCTAGTGTGGACTTTCCCAAAGGAAATGGGAAAAGCAGCCTGCGGTTCTGCCCCCTCCCCTTCCCCGGCGCTCTTCTGGGGAGACAATGAACCTTTTACACATTCCCAATTACAAGTGCTACTTGTGACCTTGCCAATATGTTGTCATGGCTGCTTGGTGCAGAAGCAGCTCGGCGAGCTCATTCACGGCCCCTCGTCCGGGCACAGTTTGAGCCTCTGAATGGCGGCGGCCCCCATTGTACGGCTCGGTTCACACATCGCCCTGTGTCTGTCCCAGCCGAAGGAGCGCCGCGGAGCTGGCCTTGCCTCTCCCTGGGGAAGTGCCTTCCAGAAGATGCCAGTCAGTCACTTTGTGCCTGTGTGCTAACTGGCTGTAAATTCTTCCTTTTCAAGGCTCTGACCCCTTCTCGACTCCCCGTTTCCTCCTCCTCTTTTGTTCGGCAGGCTTACGCCGTCTGCATTGGCCGTACAAAGTGAGGCCGTCGGAGGGAACCCGAATGCCTTCGAACCGGTTCTGCGCCGGGATTTTCCCTGGAGCCGGGCCAGGGGAGGCAGCGAAGCCCATTGCAAACCTGGGGCTGCCGCTTTCTGTCGCCAAGCCGGTACTTCTGCGCTTGTGTGACCCCCTCTGATCAAATTGTCAGGGCTGACGCCTGCAGATGGATCGTTTTCGGTTGGAGAACAAGCAGCCTGTCTCTGCGTAGCTGTCAGTTTTCACAGCTGTATATCTCACCTCTTTGTCAGCCGCTTTTCTCCTCTCCTCTCCCCCTCAGCCCACCCTGTGCTATCTTTTGATAAGCTATTCTCTCCGCGGATGACTCAGATGACCTGTGCCTCCCATCCTCCCCATTCACTGCCATGGTAACAATTACTCAAGCTTGTCCCCAGTCATAAACCCCATCAAAGCTTTGTTATCTACATAGAAACCCTCCCGCGAGACATGAATTCCCCCAGTGTTCCTTCCCGATCACCTGTAACAGAGCCTTTCTCATTCAGATCCTCTTTATCTTTTGGAAACGTGTCACTTCGCACCAGCGCCCCGCTTTGCATCTCGCTGCCTACGCCGTGCTGTGGGCTGGCTGCTGCTGGAGGGCTGCATTCAAACAAAACTGGAATTAGCTGGGTGGCGTCAGCCCAGATGGATGGAGATCGGGCCCTTCCCTGACGTTAGGGAGCCCAGCGCCATCCAAAGCCGTCGTACGGCGGGGCAAGGCACGCCCGAAGCGCTGGGGAGCTGCATGGAGGCCACGGGGTTAGAGGGAGGAGGGGGGCTTGAGGTCAGGATGGAGAGGTGGCCCCAGAGCTGTGCCCAGCGCTGGGTTGGCTCCGGGATCTGTACCCGAATGCGAGAGCGAGACGGGCAGAGGGAGCAAGGTTACACGTGAGTGATGCCCAGCGATGATACTTACCTGGCCTTTCCATGAGAATTAGAAAATCACTGATGTCTTTGGGCATATGAGAGAGAACTAAAAATAAAACGCGCTTTCAGGAAGGGGATGTGAGTGCCTGCCTTGTGTACACACCAAGAGCAGCGGGTGTGTGCCCAAGCCAGACAGCGTGCGGAGCTGGCGAGGCGGGACTTCAGAAGCTCTTTCCTTCTTGTTTGACCTGGCAGGTCATGAAGAATGAAGAGCTCAGCCTAGAGCTGCTCAATCTGGCCAACGCCAGGAGCACCCTTCCCCGCACTGAGAGCAACCACAACCACTCACCCACCACGGCCGATGGATCCTCTGCTGAGCTGGAAAAGGCACGAGCAGCGGTGAGCCGTCTGCCGCCTCGGAAGGCGAAGGTAAGGACTCCTCTGCCTGGTCGCCAGCTCCTTGGAGAACAGGGGTCTAACAGGCACCACCTTCTGTCTCTTACTAAAACCAGCCAGAAGATGCGGTCGCCTCAGAGCACGAGCAGCAAAAGCTGGAGAGAAACGTGAGTGTGGGGGGGTCCACTGCTGGATCCTTGGGGGAGCAGAAGGGGAATTTATTCCAACTGGCTGGCACCTCCTGGTGCTAACTTGAATTTTGTGGATGAGGTGATGCCTTGATTTATTTTAACTTTCTTTTTTTTAAGCTCTGCAGTTGAAAAATGAGACTCGAATAACTCCAGGCAAAAGCTGAGAGAGGGCAGCTCTGGTTCCCCCCACCAGTGCCCCGGGGCGAATGGAGGCAGGCGTTTAGAAGTCAACATGTGCAGGGGACATTTGCTTATGTTCTCCTCGCCATTACTTGAGAAGGATGGGGGTGATAAAGCACCCGAAACTGGGAGCACTGGGATGCTCCCTGCCTCCTTCCCATCTGCAGCCCATGCGGTACCAGCTTGGGCTCCGCCGCCAGCTCCTGCGGGGAATCTGACGCTCGGGGGGAGACTCTCCCTTGGGGGAACACCACGTGCACACCGCCACGTGCCCCGTCCCCGGAGCACACACTGCTTCTGGTGTGCTACAGGGCACCGGTTGCTCCCAGTTAAACCTCTCCTTTCCCCAGTCTGTCACTGGTCAGCTGGCCCTGTGCTCAGCTGGAGGCTCTCCTGACTTCTTCCCTGTTCACAGATCCCTCCGCTTAGCTCAGCCTGCTGTCTCATCTTCCTCTTTGCTTCTCCCTCAGTTGCCTGGAAACCAGGATCACATAAAAGTGGAGTTTGAAAAACTGAAGAAAACCTATGATTTGCAGCAGAAGAGGCTGGAAGAGAGAGTGTGAGTGTCTGAGGGCATGTCCTTCTGTTTGGCTGGGCATTTGCGGAGCTCGTCGCCGCCGAGTTTGATCCTCGGGCGCAGGAGAAGAGGCAGCCCACCTTCGGTCGGGTACAGGCTGGGAAACAACGAGTCACCTGTGGAGCAAGCGAGGCCTGGAAGCAAACGCTTTCAAGGCTCTTAAGGGGATCAGCTGTCTCCTTAAAAGTCGGTGGTGTTTAGGTACCCGACTGGCCCTTGCGGTGCTGAAAATCCACCCTCCACGGCAAACGTGTGACAGCCCAGAGATGAAGCCAGCCCTGGCCCTTACCCTGGCAGGCTGGGAAGGGGTCGGTGTCCTGGCAAAAGCTGCTGCAGCTGGGATGCTAGACCCTCTGACCGGGCTGGGGAAATTCACTTTTAGTTGCAAGAGCTCTGTGGCCGCTGGTTGGCAACACATCTGGTTGGGGCCAGTAGCTGCTGCAGAGGGATTCCTGTCATCCTGTAGTGATTTCCTTCCCAAAACTGGCTGTATTGGACCTACAGAGAAATTTGGGGAGGGTTAAAATAAACACCCCTTCTTCCTGTGTGCCCAGGGTCACGATGGGGAAGGAGCTGCAGGAGGCGAAGGCAGCGACGGGGGACACCCAGCACAAGCTGGCGGAGCAGTCGGCGGTGAGGGCAGGCTCCCTTCCAGCCCCCGGCCCCCAGGGCTGCCCCGCTCCTCCTGGGAGCCATGTGCTTCTCCTGGGGCTAGCGGGGGGTGGACGCCTTGTACTGAGGCACCCCGACACGTCTCCCTCTCCGGGGAGTTTGTCCGACCATAGTGCTCCTCCCCGTGCAGTTTCCTTCTTCAGGGGTGCAATGCACGTGGTGGAAGGTGCTGCTTGCCACAGGTGGTGGGAGGAATTTTATTCACTGATATCGAGAAAGAGTTGGTGAAATCACCCGAGGTGGGGGGGAGATTGCAAATGACAGAAGGTAGCAGGGGAATAGAGGCTATAAACATTTCCACTGGGCTTCTGGGAAAACCCAGGACCTTCCCAGCTCCAGTGAAGCTGAATATCTGGAAATGAAGTCCCCCATCTCTTACGGAGCTGCTTGGTGCCCCTCGCTGGGGCGGGGGACAAGGGCAGCAGCGAGCGTGTTTGCTGTGCCTAGGTGCTGCTCGCCTCCCAGTGCCAGCTCCAGGAGGTGGAGGCGGAGAACTCCCGGCTGCAGCTCCAGCTGAAGGAGCTGAACGAGGAATATCGCTCCCGGCTGACGCGGTACATCAAGGACGTGGCGGTGGGTACCCCCGGCCCCAGGGGCTCTGCCGGCCTCGGGAGGGCTCTCCACGTTGGCTGCCTACTGCTTGCAGGCTGCTGCCGCTTCCCCTCCTTGCTGGGCTGCGGAGCAGAGCGGGCAGGGGGGCTCAGGAGCCGTGCTCGCAGCTGGAAGGGGGCTCTGCCCCCTCGGCTTGGCTGGGGGAGGAGACGCCTGCCCCCCTCCTCACCCCGATTTCCCATACAGCCACACTAAAGGGTCTGTGAATTTCTGCTGGGACTTTCTTTCTTGGTCAGATCACTTGGCTTGAAAGATCCTCTTATTTACAATGGCTGCCTTCCAGTTGGCTTCCGATCTCCATCGCCCTGACAACTTCCCTCAGCAGGCCAGGCGATGCCACTGGGGGCTTTGTCGCCGCCTTGGCGGTGACTCTGCTGCCATCCCGGCAGGGCGCTCTGCCAGCCCCCAGGGTCGGCTGCAGAGCCGTGTCATGCCAGCGCCTGGGACCCGCTCCGGGGACGAGCACCGTCGATGTCGAGTAGGGCCCCCAGCGCATGGTGAGGACTCGGCACAAGGCAGGCGTTTCAGGCAGGTTCAGACACGGATACCCTGTTATACTGAGCAGTGAGACTGGGAAGAAATCTCTTTCTACCCCCGCCAGGTAGCAGTAAGCAGGTTTTGGCGAGAGCTTCTGTGCTGGGAGAAGGCTGGTACCGGAGAGCGCAGTGTGGTGGTGGGTCGGGGGACAAAGCAAAGCAATTGTTACTGTGAAGAATAGTTTAATTTCTAACAGAGCAGTGTCAAAGCATCTCCTAGCTAGCAGCGAGAGCAGAGCGCGGTGGAAAGAATCATAGAATCATCGAATGTTTTGGGTGGGAAGGGACCCCCAGAGGTCACCCAGCCCAACCCCCCTGCAGGAGCAGGGACATCTCCAACCACATCAGGTTGCTCACAGCCCCGTCCAACCTGTCCTTGAATGCTCCCAGGGATGGGGCCTCCACCCCCTCTCTGGGCAACCCCTGCCAGGGTTTCACCACCCTCACTGTAAAGAATTTCTTCCTTAGATCCAGTCTAAACCTCCCCTGATTTAGTTTAAAGCCATCACCCCTTGGCCTGTCACAACTGGCCCTGCTAAAAAGGTTGTCCCCGAAGAATACGGGACCAGAACTGGTAGCTCCCAGTGCCAACTTGTGTTTCCCTAGGTGGGTCACTGATACAGAACGGGTGCCTGCTCTGCCTTGAAGGGCCATGGTGGAAGCTAATGAGTCTTTCCTGCTCTTAGAAAACTGAAGAGATGCCCTAAGCTCTCTGCTGTTAGCTCAAATATTCCTGGACCTTCTCTGTGGGAAATGGGTTGCATGCCTTAGGGAACGACTTGGTCACCTCCATTTCTTTCTCTGTATATTTAAAGGACTACATGGACAGCAAATGCAGCAACGCAGCGGGGCCCAGCAAAGCCCCAGCTGATCACACTCCCATGAAACGCGTTGTGGACAGCATGCTGAAGGATATCAGGGCTTCCTACAAGTCTCGGGAAGAGCAGCTGGCTGGCGCGGCACGTGGCTACAAGAAACGGATGAAGAACTTGGTGAAGAAGCATGAGAACCTGCTGATTGCTTACGGGTAGGGCTAAGCCAGGGTCTGGGCTACCTCTACCTCTCCAGCCTATTGCTAAGGGCCAGCTGGAGGTGCCCCATAGCACCCAGCCCCCTTGTGGAGCGGATCCGGAGTGCCTGTTTATCCCCGTGCTCTTGATGAGCCAGGAGCAAGGTGTCTCCAGCTACACACCAGGGAGCTCTGGGCACCCTGGGGCTGCTTGGCACAGAGGTTCCTCTTGCATAAAATTTGGGGTGAGAGATTGATTCCACGTTGGACAGTGTGGAAATGCAGAAGCACCACAAATAACTCCTGCCTCCCAGCCCATCCCTGCAGTGTTCTCAGCTCTGCTCCACTGCTCTCTCAGCAGCTTGGGCTGTGGGAAGCAGCAGAAATTCTTGTGGTATAAAAGCTGCAAATAGCTCTAGGATGAGCTCCCCTCAGAAACGCTCCCAGGAATATCGTGCGTACTGCTGGGCTCTCCCACTTACCCTTTGCAGGTGAACAGGCTCCCAGTGGCCAGAAGCCCACGCAAACGGGCCCTCCACCAGCAGCAGAAATGCTCAGTGTTGTCACCCGACCAAAGCTGCCAGGGACTAACCCCTCTGGCACGTTACAGGCTCCAGCGAGAGCAGATCCGATCCTTGGGCAGCAGCGCTATGGATTGCGGCCCTGCCGAGCTCCACTTTTCCATCTCAGACCCAGAGCTGCTGACAAACACAACCCGGGAGCTAAACCGGCTGCGGGAGGATAAAGCAAAACTGGAGATGCAGTTACAGGAATTGCAGAAGGTGGTGGCTGGGCTGCTGGCTGTCTGGGGGGGGGGAATTTGGCAGGGGGGCAGTGGGGAGGGTCTCACAGGCGATAGATTTCAGCCCCTTCCCCAGGCATTCCCTGCAGGTTTGCTGTGCCTGTGGCACAGGTAGGGGTAGGGCTTGCTCACTTTCTCATTTGGGGAAGAGACGGGATGCCCAAGCAGTCCCCTCGTGCTGGGCAGCCCCACAGGTTGGGGTCGCTGAGCTCTGGGAGGGCTGAGGAGTGGCTGCTGTTATGGGAGAGCTGCCAGGCCAGCAGACCCACTCGCTGCTAAAAGAAGAGGCGAGTAAGGGAGGATAGGATGGGGCTTTCGGTTCTGGAACGCCTTTGCCTCAGCTAACTGAGCAGGGGACCATGCTCAGAAACATGCCAGCCAGCTCCATGTCCTCCCGCTGGTTTGGCCTGGGCAGACACACCTCTCTTTGATTGGTGTGAGATGCTTTGATTGAAAAATCCAGAGAATGGGAGACCGAAACCTTAAGATCGTGCTGCACATCGCTTCCTCACCAGGGCAGCGGTGGCTTTGGAGTGCTGGGATACCTCGTGCCGCTCCAGAGTGGCAGGGACTGTGGGGGGATTGCAATGGTGCAATGCTTATGGGAAAACTCTTCTTCCTTTGCCTTCAGGAAAGACCAAAGGACACCTCTGGCTTCCCGCTGTCTCCCGGGCAGTGAGTGCTGTTTGTTTCTCTGGGTATTTGTAATCCTGAGTGCTCCTTGCTGTGTGGATTGAGGAGTCTTGTCTGCTTTACTTGGAGATGGTAATAAATAGGGAGAAAGCAAGCTGGTAGGGACCCATCCGAGAAGAAAAGCCAGCTGTCGTTCCAGGGCAGCGCTCCCTGCGGCAAAATGAGTTGGTCATTTAGGCCTTGATCCAAGAAAGCTCTTAAGCACATGTTTGATTTAATCATGGGCTTAGTTCCACGGATCTCTTTGGAAGCTGAAGTTAAGCGTACGCCCGAGTGCTTTTGGGAGGAACACAACCTGAGAAAGGCCAGCGCAACGCTGCTTTGGGATGGTCTTGTTTCTCCTCCCTCCCCATGCAGAAGCTGGGCTGGAACCCGGAGGTGACCCTGTACCAGCACCTCCCTGGCTTCTTGGCGTGCCCTTCATCCGCTCATTTTTGATGGGTCTCTTCCCCCTGCTTGCTCAGCTGGCTGAAACTGTACCAACCATAGCTGTGGAGAGGCAGAAGAAAAGTGTTGGGGAAATCTGAGCTGGGATTTTTCAGCCTTTTAAAACGCCGTAGCCTAGAAAACATGTCAGGTATTTCAGTGACTGGATGCCAGCACGGAGGGGTCGGCCAGTGCCTGAGCCCCCAGGCTCCAGCGGAGTTGCCTCGGAGAAGAGCCTGAGCCTTAACCAGGCTCTGCCATGCTGAAAAATAGCAGCAGTCCTTGAAGAGGTGCGTTAAATTTGGCAGCCTTGCCACAGGAACAAGACGGAGAAGTACCAGATCCTGCATTTTAGTGATGCACCTTGTTAAGGTTTTTACAGCTGCCAAGTTTCCCGTGTGCTGCTGGGTCTTACCCATGCCGGTACCTTGTTCCTCCTAGCTAGGGACATGAAGCCCTGTGTAACCCCAGCGCTTCAGCTCCAACTCCTGCCGCTTCTCCTCTTCATCGCCTGCACGGCTTCGCTGTTTGTTGTCCCCTTTGCCTCTGCCCCCATGAAATCTCGGCCGTGATTTCCCATGTGCCTGGGCCGGGAGGCGGCAGCCACCAGAGGGAACTCCGGCAGCCGCAGCGGAGCCGCTCTCGAGCACAATGCATTCCTCCCTTCATGCAACCCAAATTCCCCCAGCATCAGATGTGACCTGTATTTTGCTGCTTCAGACTGGGACAGAATGCGAAGCACTTTCCCACGGCTGGGCTGCACAGGCAGCTCTACCTATCGCCCTCGGCCACCCGAACCAGCGGGTTCATGCTCCGAAACATGAAAAGCACCAGTGTTTGGCACAGATTGCACTCTGCTTCCATCAAATTCAGTCCTGCAGCATCAGGTTAAGGGCTCCTTCTGCACGGAGTCCGCTGATGTGTGAGTGTTGATGTGAGCTTGGAGCACACCCAGCCGTCGCAGTGGGGAACCCCAGGTTGGCAGAAGGGCTGTGGCTCTCGTGCACAGGCACAGGGATGGCACCACATGCCCTGAAGTTTGGGGCATGGGGTGAGAAAAGGTTCAGGGCGCTGGGGGTTACGGCACGAGTTGTGTCCAGCCCCAGAACAGAGCTGTGTGACCTGCGGATGGGCTGGATTCGAATGTCTGGGCGTGATCAAAATCTGCTTTTCTCTCCCAGGCAGCTGGATGAGGAGGGCTGGGCAGAGGTCAGGCAGTGGCTCCGGGAGTTCGCACGCACCACCCAGGTAAAGGTCTGGAACAGCCCATCTGAAAAAACCTTAACCCTTACCCCCAGGTCAGAGATGTTCTGCCCCAGCCGGGTGCTGCCCTGGGACCAAGATGCTGCTCCGGGCCGGAGCAGGGAAGCTTTCCACAGAGCCTTGCTGTGGCTTTGGCCTCAGCCCACTGAGCGGCACCAGCAGGTCTCCGGCCAGTGATGTATCGAGGCTGTCCTGTCCCTGCTACTATTTTGGACTCGATGATCTTATAGGTCTTTTCCAACCAAAGTGATTCTAAGAATGAGAGCGGCCGTTAGTCTGCTCATTGCTGGACTGTGTTGCTCCCTCCTGTATTTTGGCAGCTGTATAACAAACCAGGTCAGTATTTGACCTGGTTCAAGTCTAGTCTGAATCCAAATCAGCTTCCCAGCCTGGTTCCCCCCGAGTGCAAGGACATTTGTGCTGCACTGGGGAACGGGGTGGCCCAGAGCGGGGAGGAGGAGAGCTCTCCCCATCCGCAAGGCTGCCCTACAGCCCCCGTGAAACCGTGCCGATGCTCGCTGGGAGCGGGCTTGGCTGGGTTTTGCTGTCCAGCAGCGACGGCGGCAGCGGGAAGAAGGGTCGGTGCTGGGATCCCTGCCACGCTGACTGCTGCAGGCGGGGAAAAGGGCTTTGGCAACCAAGCAGAGGTTTGGTTTTCTGTGGTAGACAAAGCTATAGATGGGCTACCAGCCTGCTTCCAGGTCGTGCCTTCCTCTGTCCACAGCGACCTAAGGAAGTGCCCCACCGTTCTCTGGTCACGTAAAGCCAAACACCGAAATTGCGTTGTATCTTCGCAGCCAGAAGGAGGGAGATGCTGTGGCCAAGAGGCTGGAGCACCGCACTGGAGCAGGTCCTGCTCCTGGCTCTGCTCTGCACCTCGGGGCCGAGCTCCGTCAAGCACCCCTGATCCTCCTGGTGACACGGGGACGGTGCAGTGAACTTGGGGAAGGTGATGATCTACTGCCCGGAGACACCTCACAAAAAACAAATGTTTGGTTTTTTTTTTTTTACCTAAAAGGGAAGGTCAGCTCCCTTTGCAACCAACTACCGGTGGAAAGGTGTGAAAGCTGCGTCCGAGTGCCAAATCTAGCGACCGTGCCACCAGTTTTCTGTGAAGCCTCTGGGGGAGTTAATGATGGGGCTACTGCCCGTCCCGGGGTGGCCCTGGCCCCCACGCCCGCGCTCTGGTCAGGGAAGGCTCCTCCGGGCTGCCCAGCCGATGCCCTGGAGCGGTGGGGCTTGCAGAAAGCTGAGCTATCGTCGCTGGGCTCCTTTTGCCAGGCACATCAGTTTTCGGTGGCTTCTGTAGGCAAACGCCAAGCGGTGCCGGAGCTGAGGGATGGGGAAGTGGTCAGCCTCGCCTGGCAGAGAGGGGCTGAGCAACTTCACTCCCATCTCACGGAGCTCCCTGTTTTCTCCTTGTTTCGTTCCCCCTCCAGGAGCATTTGGAGCAGGAGAGGAGCCAGCTGCTGACTCGGGCGATCGTGGCGGAAGAGCAGGTATCGGAGCTGCAGGAATACATAGACCAGCACCTTGCAAGGTGAGACGGTAGCATCCCCCCTCACGTGTTCTCTGCTTCGTGCTCTGAGCTAAAATCCAAAGCCTTCCAGCAGCCCCTGATCTACGGTCCTCTCTTGGGCTGCCTAAAATCCAAAGCCTTCCAGCAGCCCCTGATCTACGGTCCTCTCTTGGGCTGCCTAAAATCCAAAGCCTTCCAGCAGCCCCTGATCTACGGTCCTCTCTTGGGCTGCCTAAAATCCAAAGCCTTCCAGCAGCCCCTGATCTACGGTCCTCTCTTGGGCTGCCTAAAATCCAAAGCCTTCCAGCAGCCCCTGATCTACGGTCTTCTCTTGGGCTGCCTAAAATCCAAAGCCTTCCAGCAGCCCCTGATCTATGGTCCTCTCTCAGGCTACCTAAAATCCAAAGCCTTCCAGCAGCCCCTGATCTACGGTCTTCTCTTGGGCTGCCTAAAATCCAAAGCCTTCCAGCAGCTCCCCTCTTGCTGGCTCATCACGCCCCGAAGCAGAACAATTGCCTGGGCAAAAAAAGGGCAAGAACAAGCAGAGGGCACCTGTGGGTGCCATGGTCCAACCGTGCCTGCCGTAACGCCCCAGCCAGCTCAGCTGCGACCTCAGGTCAGACTCGTGGGCTTGATGTGGGTCCTGTTCCCCGGCAGAGCCGACAAACACCTCATCCTGGGGAAAAGGCTGCCATGTTACATCTGCCGGGGCTCAGCTCCCGGCGGGGCTCAGTGCCCGGGCTCAATTAACCGACACTGCGTGTCCTTGGCGTGCAGCAAACGCAAGGCAAAGCGTACATTTAAATTTACCGCTCCTGCATGTGAGCTACCAGCGGGGTTGGGACCACACCGGCAACAACGGCGCCGCTTCCCCGTTGCAGGTACAAGCAGGAGATCCTCCGGCTGCGGAAGCTCGCTGCCGGCAAGGTGCCACGCGCGCTCAGCGCTGGGACGGCCGGTGCTCATGCGCTGCCCAGAGCCAGGACCATCAGCCACCAACCGTAGCTCTTCCCCACGGCTCCGACAAGCGGCATGATCATAGGAGGGAGCAGGATTTAAAAGGAAGGAGCTTTCTGTTGTGTGGGCTGGCCAGGGCACGTATCCTTCCCCGGCTGAGAGCTGGGAGGCACAGCAAGGGAAACCACGTGGGTGTTCTCGGTCTCAAATTAACGGTACTAAAATGGGACGAGACAACTGCGTCTCGCCTATCCGCTGACCCCTCGGCTGCAGGAATTCTGCTGCTCCCTGAGCACATCACGCCTCGGGACACAGGGTCAGGTTCCCAGGCAGCTTTTTACTGCGGGGAGGCAGGGACGGGTCCCCGTTCCAGCCTCCAAGGACACTGCCGTAAGGTTTCTCCTGGCTCAGACCTAGACCGGAGTCCAAGGACTAACTCTGCTCCTGCCTTTGCTCCCTTCTCAGCTTCTAAGAGTTTAGGCCAGGGCTGGTTCAAGCTAGGCTTTGGTCTAAGAGGTCAGACAAAGAGGATCAGCTTCTCCTTTGCAGTGGGAAAACCTTTTTTTTTTTTTTTTTTTTTCCCCCCCCCCTCTGTGTTTGAGTGGAAAAGGGAATGTTCTATCCAGTGAGCAGGGCTAACCTGACCCTCCAGCGGGAGGTGAGCTGGACGAACCCCCTCCAGAGCTGCCCTCAAAGGGATGGCGGAGCAAAGCCTGAGGCCGGGAACGGCGGCTGCTCTGGCTCCAGGGGCACCCTGCTGCTCTGGGGCAAAGCAAAAGCCTCAAGAGAAGAACTGTCCAGGCGTTTATTTTGAAAAATTAACTAGAAATAAAGTGGCATAAACATACAGAAAGAGGCACTGGAGATTTAGCCCTTAAATCCTGCGATAATTCCAGGATTTCTAGATCTGGTTTTCCCCTCCCTTGTCTCCATCAAACTGCCCGCTCTTTGGAAGACAAGGAGGGACCACCCTGCAATCCCTGGGAAAAAGCCTGGCTCAGCAGCCCTCCCACTGCTGTCCTGAGCTGAGCCTAAGGCCCAGAGAGGCGCTGACCCTTAATGCCAGGCTTAACGAAGCTGCTGCTAGACTGGGCTTCCCTCTGTGCTGCTCCGCGCCGCTCGCCGCACCTCCTTCATGTCATAGGCCCAGACTTGCTCCAGCCCCTGCCCAAGGGTGCTGGTGGGGGTCCAGGAGGGGAAGGGGAAGCGTCCGGCCACCACTCGGGCTTCGTCGGGGAGTTCTGCAAGGAGCTTGGCGGCCAGGGGCGGCTTCTGGGGAGAGAGGGAGACAGCCAGGGCCTGGCGGCCTTAGGAAATGGTGACAGGGCAGCTTCTCGGCATGGCCGGCGGGTCCCCAGCCGACACCAACCAACGAAGACCCC